AAGGAGAGGGAAAGAAAGAGGGAGAGGGAGGGAGTAAGGAGAGGGAAAGAAATAGAGGGAGAGAAAGAGCGAGACGAAGACCTGGGAGAGAGAGAGGGACAGAGAGAAAGAGGGAGAGGGAGGGAGTAAGGTGAGGGAAAGAAAGGGAGAGAGAGGGAGAGGAAGACCTGGGAGAGATTGAAGGACAGAGAGAAAGAGGGAGAGGGAGAAAGAGGGAGAGAGAGGGAGAGAGAGAGGGAGAGAAGCAAAAGGACATGAAGAAACTGCAAGGGGAAATAGTAAAGCTGCAAGCTGCAGTTCTTCCAGAGAGGAGGAAATGCTCCACCGAGAGGAAGTAAGTCACTCCTTATCTCCAGACCCCGACATCGATCGGCCAAAACTGAGACAGAGACCAGAAACCGACAAACAGATCACCCATCGCCACCCTGTCTTTCGATCCTCCCGATGGAAAACGTGCAACTCCCGATCGGAAGCACCAACCGACTTACAGTATATATGGGCTTCGCTCCACTACTCAACACTCTACATGCATTTGGATGCCTTACTGAACCAGGTGCGTTTGGAGGAGTCTAACATTTTGAATGTATCGGGACGGACGATGATGAGCTCCAGATACGTGTAGAGCGTTGCGTAATGGAGCGAGACCCAGTAAACAAATTGCACTCGCAAAAAGTGATCGCGAATGCAAAACCCCGAAAGCCACGTGGAATTGATTGGGAAAAAAAAGGGGTCTCAGCCTCGCATAATCATGATCATGGGTAAGAAAGGCGCGCCAGAGATTACAGCGCTGGCGTGCGCGCGCCGGGCGCAAAGACTGTGTACTGTGTGGTCAACGAGTTGAAGGCGCGCCGCACATGGGTCAGACGGCCTGTGGCAAGCAAGCACGTATTGCGCGCGCTGCGAGAGGACGGTATAAAACAACAGGCGAAGCGCTCAACAATATAATGATAGAAGAAAGTGCACCAAAGAGAGAGAGAGAGAGAGAGAGAGAGAGAGTGCTGATCAGGAAGAAGAGATAATACATAGTGGGAAGAAAGTGCCAAGCACGGGCGAAGACTCGCAAGAGAACCAATGCTGCAAAGGTGAGAGAATACATCGACAGAGCCGACAGAGAAGAAGGCGCGAGGGGGAAGGGGGGGGGTATATCAAGTATAACAGTATGTACAACGAGCGCACCAAGGGTCTAGAAAATACATGACGTAAGGGGTATACTTAAAGCACGAGCCAGACGCACACAGAGCGAGTCTCGATGGGTTATGAAGGACAAGAAAAGAGGAGGAGAGAGAAAGAAAGAAAGGCAGATGGACAACAGCTAAGCGAACACCGCGCCAAATGCATTTAGACAGGTCGTCGGGTTACAGAGCAAGCACAGGGAGGCCATCAGCTAAAGGTAGGGGATAGGGGATATTGCCGGGTCCAACCATCCTACGGACTTCCCTCCCAACTGACACCGCGCACCACCTTCTTCTCCTTCCTCTCCCTCTTATACCGACCACTTATCGTTCCTTCGTCTCCTCCTTGATTGTTCACCTTGCCTGGGCAGGAATCACCCTTCTTCTCATCCGCCTGTCCCCTCGGGCCTGCATTGGACTTTCTCCTACTCCTCTCTAAATTAGTATTAACATTCATAACATCCGGCGCCCAGCTGAGGCCACCCATAGGATTGCATTTGGCTGACACGATGAACCCCCCCCTTCTCCCCTCTCCCCCCCAAGAAAATGGGAGAGTTGGGTTCAGATGTCACCCAGAAGAGAATCGCCTTTCGCATGCATCAAGAGTTTGCCATTCTACCCCCGCCGCCAGAGCTTCAAAGAGCGCCCGCACCCAACTTTCAGTGTATTCCCCTCCCTGCCCCCCCCCCCCGAACTTCCACTGCTAAACCACCTTCATGTTATTTATAGCGTTTCTCATTTGTCCTCTCTTCCCGAGACGTTGTTCACTGTCCCTTGGAGATAGTAGTTCGTTGTCCAAGCTTGTGTTTTATTAATCAAATGAATCACTTGTGTTTTATTAATCGAAATGAATCAAATGAATGAATGATCGCTGGAACGAGTGCCAAGCAGAGACGTTTCGCAGAGAACCCTCTGGTCTAACCCCGCCAGCACCCACTAGGGCTTAATCCATGTTCCCTAGGCTCTCCATGATCGGCACTCGAGCGTTATCCCTCCTACGACTAAGTAAGAAAACGGAAGCCGCAAACGATTAAGAAAAAAAAACAAAGAAAAAAAAGGGGATAGTTTTTCCAGAGAGGTGATCCAAGTTAATCAAATGATGATGACAGGTGGGAGAGATGGCAATACGAGAGTAGGGGGGATTATTTGTGTCGGGTGAGCACGGAAAAAGCAGGCAGGAAACGCATCGCATAGCGTGGGCAACGGGCAACTCCCCCCAACTCCCCCCCCCCCCCCCCCCCCCCCCCCCCCCCCCCCCCCCCTCCCTCCCCGCGGCAAAACGATTCACCGCCATCATTCTGAGCTTTCTCCTTCCTCTCAACCGCGAGCGAGGACGCTCGCCGGCCTCTGTTCCCCACGTTACCCCCCATTGCGCATATCCCAAAATAAAAAGGGGAAGAACAAAGAAAGAACCCACCAAGATCTGTCTATCCTCACTCGCCTCATTTCTCAAGCAGGCCTGAGTTGTCAAGCAGGGGGGCCGACGTCATATTCCCGATGAAAGCGCCTCTACAAGCCAAATCCAAAGCTGATCAAATCTAATCAAATCTAATCCAATCTAATCAAATCTAATCAAATCAGACAAGGTTTCACAAAAAGGGGAATAATTCATAATTCAGTGAGGGCTAGGCTTCCCTCTGTTCTCGGTCCGAGTAACTGTCGGTTTGCCAAACGAGTGATAAAAAGAAGTTGGGGAAAACAGCGCGGCTAAAGGGGGAGACGGGAGCTACAAAAGAGGCAAAAGCGTCTTAAGCTACAGCGCTTTTGAGACACCGCCATCATTCAGAACCTCGTCCTAATTACACCTACCGCGCTCGCATTTTTAACATACGCTCATCCTCAATTAGAAGGTGAAATGAAGAGAGGGGCAGGGAAGAGGGAGAGAGAGAGAGAGAGAGAGAGAGAGAGAGAGACATGAAGAGAGATAGAGGTCGATAGTATCGGGCGAGGAGAAAGAGCTGCGAAGCGATGAAGCACCAAGGCAAAAGGAAGGGGTTCGCTCGATCATCAACCCCCACTTTTACACAAATAGAGCGAGCAGAGAAGAAATCGGATTAGAGTGGCGACAGAGAGAGAGAGACAATGGACACCCAACGGGTATAGACTGATAGACAAGCAACGGCGCCAACGAAGAGCAAGAGAGGGACATAAGGAAACAGACAACCACGCAGTGATGCGTGGAAGGAGAATAGTAGATTACCTCAAGATATCTTGGCTGCTCTCGTTCGCTCCAGTTTTTGCCTTTTTCGTCCGCAGCCGCGTTCCAGGCCCGTCGGCTAGACGCTTCATTTTCTCCCTCCCCCTCCCCCCCCNCACCCACCCAACCTTTCCTTTTCAATGCACAAGGAGATCAATGGCCGTGGCGAACGCCCACGTCGATAATGGCGAAAGCAACACACTCATCGAGACACCGGAGACCGAGTAGGTCTCCCTTCAATACCGTCGCTGTGTTCACTGTCCCGACCCATCTCCTTGCAGGCAGTCTGCCCCTAGCTGCTTCCCAAAAACCACAGGCTTATCTCCTCTTCTTCTTCTACTTCTACTTCTCGAACCTTTCAGGGCCAATGTCTGTCCAGAGCATCTCACAGTTCTATGACGATAATCAACACAGAGAACCACCTCCCTCTTCCTTGATGGATCGGGGAACAGACAGCTTACAGAAAGGCGGAGATTGAAGATAGATGGGCTGACCAGACCGAGAAGGGGTCCCGATCTATCTATCTGTCTCCTTCCAACGTTACCTCATTTGATATCCGACACCGGCTTTTCTCTGAGGACATTTCGGCCACTTGTACCACCTCAATATCTCAATATGATAATAGTAAAGACCCCCACCTCTCCTCCCTCTCACAAACTGTCCACGATTGTCGTTGCCCGCGCCCTCATGATGCCGCGGTCGAACTTATATACACACAGAACTGCTCACCCCAGGCAACAACCCATCATCACCCAGCGAACTGCATCAACCCTCTTTGAGTCTTGCACGAGCACAATCTCTCCCTCTTTTGCTATGAGGAGGTGTGTCAGGGCCCAGGAGCGGGAAAAAGCCAAATCTCCCTTTTGATAGCGAGGAGGTTTGTCAAGGGCAGGGAAGGGGAAAAACACATTCCTTTGCGCCGGAAGAGATTGTCAATGCATCTTCCACGCGTTCCAACGGCCCTCGCAAAGAACTAGTACAGCTATACTACTTCCCAATGATCGAAGCACAGAGTGGCAGAAGGGAAATAAAACCTCGCCAGCTCCGCGAAATACCAAATGGACAAGGATAGCAATCAAGAGAAGCAGGAAGAAGACGACACTGTTGTCACACTGTTGTCACACTGTTGTCCAGTGGAAGGGAAAAAAAGGTGAAGAAGAGAGGTTAACAGAATGGCACACGAAACGCGTCCAAAGGCGGGGTTGGCAAAGGGTACTACGCGCGGGAGAAAGAACGGGAGCAGGTGGATTGACGAAGTCCAGGCGAGACACGAACGCCCCACGATCCCGTCTCAGAATGCCAACCTGCGGTCGGTAGCTGAGCAGAGATTCTGGCGATGGAGGTGTGCAGCGATCGGGCAACAGAAGAGCGGGGACATTTCACAAAAAAAACGGATGTCGCACACTCCCGCCAAGGCCACAAGGGTATCCGTCGTACCACCACCAAGACAGTAGCAGCAGGACAAGAGAAAGGCACGGCGTCGGGAGAAGGGAGCGCGGGAGAGTGGGACAGCGGAAGGAGTAAAGAGCGCGCGCTTGGCACCGACGGGAAAGCGGGGGGAGCGGGGGAGCGGGGGAGCGGGAGAAGGGAAGAAGAAAAAAGAGCGCGCGATTAGCACAAACCGAAAAGCAAGCGTTTTTGGGGATCCCGCCGCTCCTCGATCGCCCGCGCCCTTTCCACCTGGAATTCGAGTTCGAGGTTCATCCCACCTAGCCACACAGGATTCACGCCAAACTGCCTGGGTATGTATAACTGAATGAGCGCACAAAATATATTAAATAAAGGGGGTCGTCCGTATCATATCATACATACATAGTTGGCGTGTCGTTTGCGATGCGAGGGAAATGCCCGTCATCCTCTATGGGGAGGGACGGACAACGCCGGAACTGAGCTGTGAAGGGCCTCGCTCCACTACTCGCCAAATGTGCGAAATGAGAGTGAATCTTCCGCTAGAACATGGAAAGATACGCCGCCATGATTTTTGTCGTTTGTGCATGTTGAGAGTGGTGAAGCCATGCCCTATACCATATAACCCGGATGTGTCGGAGCGCTCGCTGGCTGGACTGCGGCGGGCATCCGGTCACGGAGCGCATACCGCGGAGCGCGGGTGATCATCTCCTGAGAACGGGGAGTTACGGCAGCAGGCCATGGGCGGGCGCTGGCGCAGCGTAGCCCCCGGTCAGCGGTAATCGGACCGAGTAACCAGCCGCAAGGTGGAGTCGCAAAACAGACGCTATCGAGATAGCCCGTCGGCTGTAGCTGAGGAAGGGATGTCACGAATTACCGGAACAGGCGTCAAATCACCAACGATTGTGGGGATGCTGCTCGCATCTTTGTCTGGTACTTGGTAAAAGCGATGGTCCAAAGGAGGCTCGTGCTCCACTGACCAACTTTGGGGTGGGGATGCTGCTCGCATCTGTCTGGTCCACTTGGTAAAAGCGATGGTCCAAAGTAGGCTTGTGCTCCAGTGACCAACTTTGGGGATCTCCTTTGAACTGACCGGTCCCAGGTAAAGGGCCTCGCCCCACTACTCTCGAAATGTGAGAAAGACAAAAATGTGGTGGGCGCATCAGGCCATGTTTTAGTGGCAAGTTCATTATCCTTTTGCACATTTAGAGAGCCGTGTGGTGATGCCCAAATTCAGAGTTATCGGTGATGCCCAAATTCAGAGTTATCGACAGGTCGCCTTCCAGAGGGTTTCACCCGAGGACTGATCTCGCTCTTATACAAAAAAGGGGAGAAGAGAGACGGCCGCAACTGGAGACCGATTTCTGTTCTTAGTGTTACGTATAAACTTTTTGCTAAAACTCTGGCGCTGTGGCTGGCTAAGCTCCTCCCCTCCCTCATAGGCTGGGAACAGGGTGCCTTTGTGAAAGGGAGATCAATATTTGATAATATTGCTGCAACCATTCAGGCACTTGATATCATTGGAAAAGAAAAAAGGGATGTCGTAATCCTTCTCCTCGATATGGAGAAGGCCTATGACAAAGTAGGGTGGAGCTTCATTCACTTCTCCCTAAAGAAGATGGGATTTGGTCCGGGCTTTAGAACATGGGTTAGTGCAAGTTACGCTCAGGCATCCTCGGTAGTAATGGTGAATGGCAGACTATCCGAAGATTTCAAGCTTACATGTTCACTAAGACAAGGCTGCCCTCTTGCCCCGCTGCTTTTTGTTCTTCAATTATAATCTCTCTTAGACAATATTAGAAAGAATACTAACATTCTTGGCTTAAAATTGACTTCAGAATTGGAATGGAAGGGTGGGGCGATCGCTGATGATCTTACGGTGGCATGTGATAACAACCCCCATGCCCTCCATGAGCTTAGGAAGGTAGTAGACACATACTGTGAACTGTCGAAAGCTTCTATCAATTGGGATAAATTTGTTTACTTCCTTCCTTACTCCCGTGAGTTGAGTGTGGACAGGGGACTCAAACGGATTCCTGCTAATACTTCGGATCGTTTTTTGGGTGTTCAAGTCTCCCTGTCGGACTGCTCCAAGGTCCAGGATACTATCTTGGCCGATAAGGTGCCAGCAAAGATCACAAGTTGGGCTCGTAATTTTAAACTGTCTTTGTTTGGCCGAGCATTGGTTCTGTCATCGACTGCTTTTTCATTATTCTGGTTTCCGCTTACGGTTCATCTACTGGGTGAAGGGGCCTACTCTAGGATCAAGAAGGATGCAGCTCGATACTTATGGAAACCTACAGCTGGGTCTCAACAACTTGAAGGTTTCATTTGGAAAGTGGTCTGGGAAACAGTGACTACAGCAAGGACACAGGGAGGCTTGGGTCTTCTGGACCTGATGCAGCAGAACCTTGCACTTCTCTGTAAATGGGTAATCGCGGCAACCTTTGACATTCGATCCAAGCTTTGGGTTCAACTAGCGGAGTATACTCTCATCAAAGAGTGGGGTCTATCGCGTCCGGCAGACGTCTGACTCTGTTCTTTCATTCCCTCATTCTCGGCAAAGAAACCAAAATCAAAATTTTGGCGAAAAATTTTATATGTGTGGCACAGGTTATTTTCAGAAGTCCTTCGTCCGCCGGAAACACAGATTGAAGTACTAAACCAGATCCTATTCGAAAATCTTTTTATTACTCTAGATAATGTCGTTTTGAAAGTTTATGGTAGCAAAGGTTCTTTCGGTAAAGCCTGGGTGGAAAAAGGGGTTGTGCAGATCAAAGACCTCTGGGATGACACGCACAAGGCCTGGATTCCGCTTGACAAACTTAAAAGAAAGTTGAATAGACTGCGCAATATTGAAAATAATTACAAAATGGTTTTAAAGGCTATTCCAACTTACTGGATAGCCTTGTTGCCTAAGTCGGTGGAACACAGGGCAGGGACGTGGTTGCTCGACCCTCTGGATAGTCAGGTAGTATTGCAGGTGTTGGGTCCAGCTTTGCCGGTAGGCTTTAAGGTGCAAACCTGGAGGCGGAAGGTGGGCGACCCAGTGGGGCCTCTCACTAAAGCAGAGGAGAAGTGAGTGCCCTCAACAGTGGACTTAGTAGAGTGTAGAGTCCTCCTGCAGGTTTCTGTGGAACAGGAATCCGCCCAGCTTATAGTAGAAGACGCCTCTACTGTTCAGATAGAGCCCCTAATGTATGGCTGGCAGAATGGTCTTCAGCTCGGTAAGCAAACACCGGTAGTTATGTATAAACCGAGATTGGGAGTCCAGGCACTAAGGGCAAAAGTAGAGAAACAGTCAGTTAGGACGGCTGCGGAGCGGTTGTCCAAAGAGCCAGGCTTTATGCTCGGGGACATGGATCTGTTTGGTCTGTGGAAGGCTCTTAGATGGATGAGCTCTCAGAAACAGGCGAGCCTAATATGGCATCCACTTCTATTGGTCACGCCTTCAGCAACTTGGCCGGTATCAAAAGGTATGGAAATCACCGAGCGGTGTATGCGGTATAACTGAGGCTGGAAAACGGCCTCCCACTTATGGTTGTTTTGCCCCTATTCTATTCACCTTTGGGAATGGTAGAGGGAACGGTGGAAGACTGCCACAGACGAAAGTTTTCAATGGACACAAGAGTGGCATTTATATGGGAAGAGCAATGCTGGTACGAACTTTCAAAAATGGTGGGCCTATGTGGCATTATCTTGTAGAGGGGCGATAATGGAAGCCATATGGAAATGTCGTAACCAAGCAAAATTTAAACAGGAGGCGGTCT